ATACTTTTTAAATACACTTAAAATAAGGCCACTACCTTCTTTAAGAAACTTCCTATCAAAACAGCACTTTGTGAAACTACATGAATGAATGTGAGAGAACTATCAAAGCCAGCAATAGTAAGTGACACCTCACGACCCAGCTGCGGGAGATCAATTTAATATCCTGTATACTTTTATTTAGTACACGTATAATTTCTCACTTATTTAGATCATAAAGGTCTAATATTTTTACTTACATTACTAACTTTAAAGACAAAAGGACTAACACCTCTTAGTTATGCAAACTCAGACCCGACAGACATTCTAACCCTATCAGGACTAACAGCCAGAATTTAGCAAGTGCTTAAACCGTCTCCTGCTTCCCCAGGACAGATGTCATGCAAACTTGTGTACAATAGATACAACTATGTGCCAACATTGTGCGAAAATTTTAACGCGAGTTAAGAACTGTGTATAAAAGAGGAGACTATAAAACTGTACTTTGGATTCCATCGCTGCCTCAAACCGAGCTACTCCGGACGCTCAATACAGAGGTTATTTTCGACACTCAACTGATCTCGGTCATTATTGGACACAATCCCACAATGGCCTACTCCTACTCCAGTGTTCCTAAATGAGCTTGCTGGGAGATGGTGGGGATCTTTTCCCATTAAGGGCATAAACACACTTCTGTAAGTCAAAATCAAACACAACTGAAAATCGCACTGGCATTAACATCTTCATATCTGAAGGTCACAAACAACTTACCCATGTAAAGCCCGATTCACAGATTTCTCCAGTGAATCGTTTGTATATTTGCTGTCCCACTGGTACAAGTATGGTCCTTTCCATTCAAATGTCACCTTTATAATGTCCTTTTCCTCATACACGCGGCGAGAGCATTGGAACTCTTCATCAAACCTGCTCTGCGATGAATCAGCAACAGTAAAATCAGCAACCTGGTCGTACCTTCCCAATGCACCATTATTCTTCAATGGAGCTGACACAGTGTTTGTATCATTCATCTCACATGGATCTTCACGTCTGAAAGGTAGCACTCTTCCAACTAATGTTCTTTCCTCATCTTTAGAGCCAAGATCAGTCTGTGACTGTGAGGTACGGCTCGTGTTTTGCAAATCCAACACAGCCGAGTCTCTCCTCTCATTCTCGCACGCCCCAGGCTCGCTTTCGGATGGCACAGGGTTAGCAACAGCTGAACACACGGGCTCGCTATCCCTCGGTGGCCGAGAATATGAATGGTCTCCCAAGGGGTGAGAAGTGCGGGGAGTGGCTGAGGATCGGTAAGCAGTATCTCTAGCAACACGAGACTGAGATTTAGGCACCCTGGTGGTTTCAAGCTTAGCGAAAGCTGGGGCTGCAGAAGGAAGACCCTCTAAACTCAATGATGCAGAAGGCGGGGGCAGCCAATTTTCAGAGACTTCTCCCCCACCTTCTTGGTGGTTTTCTGCTGCCATCGACATGATGCTCTGTACCTTTAACTCTGTATTCGGTAAGCAATCACTGTGGTTGTCAATCAAATTGGAGCAATGATTTAATTGCTCATTGCTCCCAACAGACGTGTTCTCGTTGGTGGCACATGTAACACATGCCTGCATAGTCAAAGTGCAGCGCTGCTGAGATGTCGGTACTGTCGCAATAGCAGAATTAATCGCAAGGTCAGCGAGAATATTTAGTGCGTCTGTTTGCCCAACTTTGTTATCGACACCCTCCTGTGATGCCTGCCTTTCCACCTCTGGCATTTTTTTCTCTTGTAACAAACATAAACCAGCACACAAGGATAGCGGCTGCAGGGAGGCAGGCTCATTATCAGAGATGTTTCCTACAATGTTCCAGGTGCAGACGCCATACCGTGAAACCTGCTGCGTGCTTACTCCTGTAACACAAACTGACAGGTTTACGAAAAGTCAGTTGCAATAGGTTAAGTGGGTAACCGTACGTATAACTAAGCAACAGTATCATGCAAGAGGAAGCAGGAAAGAACTCACTTTTCTTTCCTGTTCAGGTAACTGTCTGAAACATCTGGGTCCATCACCATGCACAGTCTATGTTTGACAGTGCCCTGCTCGAAAGTGGCCTGTCACTTTGAAATGATCTCTACGCAGTGATTCATTGCCTCTCAGGAATCTGGGTATACAGTCTTCTTTATTGGACACTTAAGTCCTAGAAAACTAGGGATGGTTTCATTTTCTTTATTCTTTCATGGGAAGTGGGCATTGTCTGCTAGGCACTTGTCGCCCATCCTCAACTGCCCTTAAAACTGAGTGACTTGTGAGGCCGTTTTAGAGTCACCTACATTACTGTGGGTCTGAAATCCCATGCAGACCAGAACAGGTAAGGACAGCAGACTTCCCACCCTAAAGGACATTAGTCCCTAAAGTCCAACCAAGACAATGGAGCGGCGATGGCTTAGTGGTATTATGGCTGAACGTTAATCCAGAGACCCAGATAATGTTCTGGGGACCCAGGTTTGAATCCTGCCATGGCAGATGGTAGAAATTGAATTCAATAAAAGAAAATCTGGAATTAAGAGTCTAATGATGACCCTGAATCCTTTATTGATTGTCATGGGAAAAACCCACCTGGTTTTAGGGAAGGTAACTGCCTACATGTGACTCCAGACCCACAACAACGTGATTGACTCTTAACTGCCCTCTGGTCAAGTAGGGGCGGGCAATAAATGCTGACCTAGCCAGCAATGCCCACACTCCCCAAATGAATAAAGGACAATAAAATTACCTGGAGGACTGTGAGCAGCACTGGGCACTGCACCCCAGGCCAGATATGCTGGCTTCAGAGAGAGTTCAATGTAGATTCACTGGAAGATACCTGGGCTCTAAGTGTTACATTGCAAGAAGCAATGACAAAACCAAGGTTGTAATTCCTTGCATTGAGAAGATTAGGATGTGATTTGATCAAAATACTCAAAATATTAAAGGGGATTGATCTCACAGTCCAAAGGTGTGCAGGTTAGGTGGATTGGCCATGAGAAACTGTCCGCAGTGTCCAGGAATGTGCAGGTCAGTGGATTAACCATGGGAAATGCTGGGGTACAGGGACAGGGTAAGCGGGTGGGGGTGGATGACATGCACTTTGGATGCTCAGTGTGGGCTTGATGAGCCAAATGACCTGCTTCCACACTGTATGACTCTATAGGATGGATGGAGAGAGACTATTTCCACTGGCTGGAAAATCTAGGACTTGGGGACATAGTCTAAAAATAGAACCAGAAATTAAATTATAAAAGACTTCAACACATAAGGTGTGCCGGGGGTATGAAACCTTTCCACAGACGGCAATTCATCCTGGGTCTGTGGGTCTACCTTCAGCACACTGGCTGCAGTGGGTCAAAAAGGCAGCTCACCACCACCTTCTCACTAGGGACAGGCAATAAATGCTGGCCCAACCAACCCAAGCCCCATGAGTATATTAAAAAAATCCCAAATCAATTGTAAAAGTTAAATCTGCGATTGCTAGATTTTTTGTTAATTAAAGGAATTAAGGGATATGACAAAGACAAGTATTGTGTGTCAGGTTGCAGATCACCCACAATCTCACAAAATGACAGAACAGGCTTGAAGAGTGAAAATGATCTCCCTCCTGTCCCTATTTTAGAAGCAGACTACCAAAGTTTTATAAGATGCACACGTCGGAGTATTTTCTGAACCCAAGCTCCGGAACAGCATTGCCAATTTAGACAGACAGACAAGTGGCTAATAGTGGATTGATAGGAAAAAGAGTTCACCTTACCCACCACCATAATCCTGTCTTGGCAACTGTCCAAAGCTGAACGAAATAGGACTCATATTTGATCCTGAATCCTGAGGAGTGGCACGGTGGCTGTGGTTAGCACTGCTGCCTCACAGCGCCAGGGGCCACGAGTTCAATTCCACCCTTGGGTGACTGTCTGTGTGGAGTTTACACATTCTCCCCGTGTCTGCATGGGTTTCCTCTGGGTGTTCTAGATTCCTCCCACAATCCAAAGATGTGCAGGTTAGGTGGACTAATGCTAAATTGCCCACAGTGTGCAGGCTAGGTGGAATAACCATGGGAAATGCAAGGAAGTGGGTTTGGGTGGAATGGCCTTTGGAGGGTCAGTGCGACTCAATGGGCCGAATGGCCTGCCCTCACACTGTAGGGATTCTATGACAGTGTTTATAACCAAAAACCAGACTATCTGACTCTGTCCCTGCCTCAGTTCATCCACTGCAAAACCCTCATCCATGCTTCAGACTTGATTTGTCAGCCTTACAGGTTCTAAATATGGTCATCCACACCTTTGCTGCCCATGTCCAAACTCACACCAAATATCATTTGCCCATCACCAGTGTACTCACTGACATACACTGGTTCCTAAGGAAGCATTGCCTTCATCTTAAAGTTCTTATCTTTGTTTTCAAATACCCTCCACGGCCTCATCCATCCCCAACCTCTATAATCGTCTCCAGTCCCAAATCCACTCTGTGCTCCTCCAATTCTGATCTTGAACTTCCCCAATTTTAATGAATCTACCTTCTGAGGGTCGTGGCTTCAGCTGCCTGGACCATTACAGCCTCTCTGTCTAACTTATTCTCTCTTTCCTCCTTTAAGATATTCTTTAAAACAACTCCTGGAGCAAGCTTTTGGTTACCTGCCCCACCATCTCTCAATGAGGCTTAATGTCATATTTTGTGGTCTCTGGAACACCTCATTATATTAGAGGTGCTGTATAAATAGATAAGTTGTTCTCCTTGGCAAACAGATGAAGATGGCTTCAAGATTTCTGATCCCTACAGAGACACACTGTCTGCATTGATTCTAAACACTGAGAAAAAAAAAACAAAAAAAGAAAAGCAGGTGATATTAATAGAATATGACACTATGACTCTAATATCAGATTTTATATTTTTGAGTGAGGAGGACATTCACTCACAATATCTCCCTGGACCTTTTTTTGTGAGTTGTATCACGATTAATTTAAGCGATAACCAGGTCAGATAGCTGGGTGGCAGACGAGTAGTGCCAACAGTATGTGGTTCTTACAGTTGCTGAGGTTACCAAGAAGAACTCTCCTTGTCACCCTTGCCTCGAGGTGTGGTGATCCTCAGGTTAAACCACCACCCACTGCTTCTCTCTAATGAGAGAGCAGCCCTTGTTAGTATTGGCGACTAGGCCATATATGTTGAATAAAGTGATGATTTTGCCTGTATGTTTGTAACTGTTCCTTCTTTCATATGTCTCCCAAGTTCATGAGAGACAATGTTCTAAATTAATTGTTAGCACAAAAGAACCGAAATGTAACCAGAGTGCAATGCTATCCCCTGTGCTTTATGGCAGTGGTGGGATATTTGAAATTCCCCTTACCAGTTTCAGTGCATTGGCTGTGCACCTTATCCATCGCAGTCATCTCTGTGTCCATGTAGTTGCTGTCTGCTCTTCCTGCTGCAGAGGTTTGAGAGAGCACGGCAGCAGCTTTCAGTCTCTTTGTGTTCACCTCGAGTGGGGCGGGTGTTTCTGTGGGGAAGCCTTTGGCCGACTGCGACAGGGTCCTTTTATTATTGAAAGCAGATCTTGTGGAATATCCCAGACTCGCTGAAGTGGTGCCGGCTGCTTTGCTGCTGACTGCGCGATCGGGACTTGCGAAGATAGTGTCCGGTTTGTTCAATGCACTGGTATGCAAAGCTTTAGCTGCCTTCCTTTTTGCTCTGTTCGAGACTTTGCTCACCGCAATTGGTTTGCTGATCGAGTTAACTCTTCCCACAGTCTTGCCTGGTTCACCACTTGCTTGGGTCTGCAGCATGGACTTTACCGTTATCCCAGGCTGAGAAGGCGCACTTGGCACTGGCAAGCTCACTGGCAGGGCATCTTTTCCTTGAACCTTTTTGACTCTTGATGCCCTCTTTACCCGTTGGATCCCAGCATTAGGGGGCTGCGGTTCTGAGATACCAGAATGGCACAAGACCTTAGGCCTGCCGCCAGAGTTTTGGCAAAGCTTGAGAGCATTCCCCTTAAGTTTCAAGACTCTTGACACAGGAAGTAAGTAGCTTGCGGGTTCGGCAAAGTAAGGAGCGAGTTGGGAAAGTCTGGTTTGCCAGGAGTGTCCAGGAATTGGCGGCTGTCCTTTGTTTGGCCGTGCCCCCACAGAAATTAGGGAATGATTGCCTACAGCGACACCTGTTTGTTTGGACTGCTTTGGAGTCGTTTTGAAATATTGCACAAGTTGATCCTCAACCACTTTGTTCCATGGAGTTGCCGGTGTGTCAGTGGATGTCAGACCCGTGGTCACAGCGTACGTATAACCAGGAAGCAGCGGAGTTATCCTATTCTGGGAAAGTGTGCATATCACCCGATTTGTTTCTGAATTATGAGAAAAAGCTACATTAATCAAAAGTACAGCAAACATATCATCAACATCTCAATGTTTAATACATTCTGCATTATTTTTGGGAACCTATTAATGAGATGTTCAAGTAGCTGAAAACAACACATTAATCTCGTAGTTATCTAACTGCTTGCATACACTTCTGTACCTCCTCAGAATTCCATTGGTCTATATACCTGCTTATGAGCCAATCAGGACACAGCAATTTTTTTGGAGCACTCCACAAACAGCGCCCCCACTGGATCAGTTAGTCAAGGCAAAACTCAGGTTAGACCTTAAGTCATAGCAGCAGAAGCATGTCATTCAGCCCATCAGTGCTTCCCCTCAATTCAGTGAGATCACAGCTGATCTGATAATCCTCAACTCCACATTCCTGCCTTATCCCCACAACACTTCCCTTACAGATTAAAAATCTCTCACCCTTGAATATACTTAAAGGCCCCTTCATGCCAATTGCAGCCAACAACAGTTTCTGCAACTATTCTGGTCACCCAGGAGGGGATGGAATATCAGTCATGGCTTCTTACACCTGATTGTAAACCATTAAACTTTAATTGGAAAGTGTAGGGAATAAGCAGGGGTAGCATTAGGCAGGACTGCAATATCTTCCTATAGTTCAAAGGTCAACCAGTTCTCACTGTCTCACAGATGAGGAAGCCATTATTTACACAAGTCATGGGTGAGGAATGGTAGCTGCTCAGCTGCACAGCATGAAGCAATGTTTCCAGGAGAGCAGCGGGTGATTATTAAGGGAAAAGAACAAAAGGTTTTCACTTATATCCTGTCTCAGGTGGATAGTGAATGTTTAAACCCACACCATCCACCGAAAATGATCAAATGGCAACTCAATGAAAACGAAAATGGATTGGGTTTATCAGCAAACTTAACGTCACGCCCAAAGAGCTTAATAATATTGTTGGTCCTGAGGAGCAGAGAAAAGGTTGACCTTTGTTATAATGAGCAAAAGACAGAAAGCAAAAACGAGTTGGTACCTTTGAGGTGAGAAATTCTGGGTGTTTTGAAAATGAACACAGCTTGCACTGTATCATGAGCAGTCTGGCTGCTTCCTGCATGATGTGAAAGAAAATATCCATTATCCTAACAGAACAACTTCTCAACTCAGTTATTCAAACATTTAACTGTCACGTTCTCTATTTCCTTACCATTGGCAGGACTGGAAACAGAATCGTTGAACAATATGAGTAGCCCCTGATCGTTTAAGTGCTTTACAACTGCCTGGGGGAAAAACAAACATAGACATTCCACTGAAATTCCAAGTGTGTAAACACACAAATATGGAAAAGGGGGCTGAAAACATACTTGAGATAAACAAGGACTTATATTTAGACAGCATCTTGAATATAACAAAAATACCCAGAAATCTTAGAGAAAGAACACAAAAACTTTAACTTTAAATTACAGATAATTCAGAATAGTTACGGGGTAATGCACAGCTTCTGCAGAAACTCATCTGAGAAAATGGGTGTTTGTTTCTAGTCAAAGAGATACACAGCATGGAAACAGACCCTTCGGCCCAACTTGTCTATGCTGACCAGATATCCTAAATAAATCTAGTCTCATTTGCCAGTACTTGGCCCATATCCCTCTAAACCCTTCCTATTCATATACCCATCCAGATGCTTTTTAAATGTTCTAATTGTACCAGCCTCCACCCCTTCCTCTGGCAGCTCATTCCATACATGCACCACTCTTTGCATGAAAATGTTGCTCCTTAGCTCCCTTTTAAATCTTTCCCCTCACACTTTAAACCTATGCCCTCTAATTTTTAGACATCCCCACCCTGAGGAAAAGTCCTTGGCCATTCACCCTATCCATGCCCCTCATGATTTTATAAATCTCTACAAGTTCAACCCTCAGTCTCCGATGCTCCAATTCACCTCGCCCGCATAACTTTGGACTGTTGAAGGAAACTGATGTAGACGCAGGGAGAATATGCAAACTCCATAGTTCCCCTGAAGGTGGAATTGAAGCCAGGTCCCCAGTACAGTGAGACACCAGCCTCTGCCCAGATCTCAAACCCTCCAACCCTGGCAACATTCTTGTAAATATTTTCTGAACGCTTTCAAGTTTCACAACATCCTTAATGCCATTTTGAAATGGGAATATAATAATGTAAAAGTCTGCTGTGTTTGCCTTCACCAGTCTCCTTGGCCTGGAAGTTATTTGGCAAGAGTCTGAATTTCACAGGTAATGAGTGCTTTATGAAGGTAATCAGCAGAATTCAGCATTTTCATTCTCAGTAAAATAGCAGAACATGACTGTCGGTCTGGTCAGCACTGCTGAGTAATTTCACAGAATCCCTACAGTATGGAAGCAGGCCATTCAGCCCATCGAATCCACTCCAAAGAGCATCCCACCCAGACCCACCCTCCTACCCTATCCCTGTAACCCCTACATTTCCCATGGCCAATCCACCTATCCTGCACATCCCATCACAATGGCCAATTCACCTAGCCTGCACATCCCTGGACACAATGGGCAATTTAGCATGGCCAATTCACCTCGCCCGTACAACTTTGGACTGTTGGAGGAAACTGACGTAGATGCAGGGAGAATATGCAAACTCCACAGTACCCCGAGGGTGGAATCGAAGCCAGGTCCCCAGTACAGTGAGACACCAGTGCTAACCACTGAGCCACTGTACTGCCCTGGAGGTCTCAATGTAAACCGAATCATTTCATTCATTCTACATTCAGAATCATAGAAAATCGGGGCAACAATGGGACCACAAGGCCCATCATGTCTGTTAATGGAGCAGTCCCATATCCCTGCTTAACCATCACCCTCTAATGTCCCACAGCGACAAGTCCCTGACCAACACCCTTCCAAAATTCTTTGAGTCAGTGTCCACTGTATCTTTAGCTGGTGCATCCTGATCCTGAGAAAACGTCTCCTTCCCTTTACTTCACAATCTTTTGCCAACAACTTTAGGTCCACAGCCTTTTTGTTTTATTCATTAATGAGATAAGGGTGTCACTGGTTAGGCCAGCATTTATTGCCCATCCCTAATTGCAGGGTGACTAGCTGCCTCATGTTGTACAGGACTGTCCCGTTCTTTCACTGTTTCTGCTGCATCCTGTATTTCCAGTTGAGCAATGTGGGAGACCAGCGGGAGCCTCCTCTTTGCCTCTGAGGTTTGCTCTGAGAATGTGCACTGGGCTCCTGCCATCAGCCACCAGGGAGGAGAGTGGGACTGCAAGTGACGACAGATCAGAGACACAAGTTCCCCAAGCTGCGGTTTCCAATCCAGTACCGTAGCTATGATGCCCCCATCTCGTGTCTGGGGAGGGACCTCTCCTAATTCCACAAGCAGCCTAGGGTACTCTTAAAGCTACTCACCTCCAGGAGAATTGTTCAACTGGTGCATCATAAGGAAACACTACATCTGTGTTTGGTTGGCGCTGGTTGAAAAACAAAAAAGTTGGCAGGTTCACTGGAAACATAGCACCAGGAGCATGACATTCAGCCCCTCAAACCTGTTCCAACATTCAATGAGAGTTCTGAGGAAGGGTCACCGGACCCGAAACGTTAACTTTGTTTTTTCCTTCACAGATGTTGCCAGGCCTGCTGGGCTTTTCCAGCAACTTTGTTTTTGTTCCTGATTTACAGCATCTGCAGTTCTTTCAGTTTTTTTCAATGAGGTCATGGCTGGTCTGTGTTTTAACTTCCTGCCTTTAATCCACAGCGCTTAATATCTTTACTTAACGAAAAATTATCTAGCTCAGAATTAAAATTAACCTCTGATTTCACATCAACTGCTATTTGTGGAAGAGAGTTCCAAATCTCCACCACCCTTTGTATGTAGAAGTGTTTCCTAATATCTCTCCTGAACCACGCCCCCTGGTTCTAAAATCCCCAAACAGTGAAACCAGACCCAGGTAATGTCCTGGGGACCCAGGTTCAAATCCTGAAACAGCAAATGGTGGAATTTGAATTCAATAATAATCTGGAATTAAGAGTCTGGCAATGACCATGAAACCACTGTCAGGAAAAACCCATCTGGTTCACTAATGTCAATTAGCAAAGTAAACTGCTGGTCTGGCCTGCATGTGACTCCAGACCCACAACAATTTGGCTGACACTTAACTGCCCTCTGGGCAATTAGGGATGGCCGATAAATGCTGACCTGGCCAGAGATGCCCACACCCATGAATGAATAAAATATTTTCTTAAAACAGACAATGTGGAACATGACAAGTTCCTTTCTAAATCAACCACAAAATTATTTCAGGAAGTGACTCTGTACTTTCCTAAAGCAACTTTAAATCATTAAACCAAGTTCTAAAAGGTACTGACCCTTAAAGGGGCACTGCAACAAAAGTCAAATGTTCTTCATTAGCAATTCAAGATAAAATGCTATTATGGAGCCGAATAATGGACTCCATTCCAAGGATACCAATGGCCACAACTGTCTGCTTAGTATCTCTACTGTGCGGAGACAGGCCATTCGGCCCAACAAGTCCACACCAACTCTCTGAAGAGCATCCCATCCAGACTCATCCCTCTACCCTATCCCTGTATATCCCCTGGCTAACGCACCTACTCCTGGACACTATGGGCAATTTAGCATGACTACTCCACCTATGGACAAAGAACATCTTTGGGAGAAAACCAGGGCACTCAGGTCCCTGGTACTGTGAGGCGGCAGTGCTAACCGCCGAGCCACCGTGCCATCTCTTCATATGTGCTCACGTGAAACCCTAATACCTTCCACTAGCATACAATAAAACAGAATTAATACCAATAACTAACAGGGCTTCAGATGAACATTTGACTTGAAATACGGAAGTTCCAGCAATGCAGCACTCCTGCAACACATTAGCACCATAAATCTCCAGAGGTGAAATTGTCATTATTTATCCAAAGTGGAGAACCACCAAATGCCTGTAGCTCACAATGATCACAAGGGTGTCCAACTCTTACCAGCTTCTTTTCCTCCAATTTATTTATCAAAGGATCCAGCCAAGTAGCTTCTCCTCCCTCTAAGTCTGCCACCAGTTCATACCAACTGCAATATAAACCTTCCAAGCAAACTGAGGAAAAAGCAGAAACAGTAGAATCAATTTTTCAGCCAAACATCTTAGTGTAGCTTAACATGTGGAGCTGATCAAATTTAATTACCTTCTTTAAGTTTGTAATTTTCTTTTTCAAAAACACCCTGAGGCAGTTTGCTTTTTAGTTCGCCAATGCTCATCACGTACTCAATTTCAAGCTTTGTTGGTCTAAGCAAAAAGATACAGCAGATGAAAAATGTTAATACTTAGCAGAAGTGAAGCATAATCAATACGTTATTTTTTGAAGAAAATACAACAGGTCAATCTGCATTACACTTCTATGTTGCAAATCATTCACAAATTGCACAGCACTTTGTGAAGTTTATCTACACTCAGACATGCAATTCTTCTTTTTCAGACTGGGGCTTCACTGACGGAGGAGAGTTGGTGGGGATGGCAGGGCGGAGGTATCTGACATTGTCTCTGATCAGCCACTTCAAGATGTTGATTTGAAGGCTGAAGGAACTGGGCAGACAAGGACATAAGAAATAGGGGCAAAATAGCTCATGCCCAGTGACTGCTAGACCATTCAACATGATGCCTCAACAGTGGGGCTGATAGTGACAACTAACTCCGAAGATAGACCCTGCTCCTCAAACATGTCTTGTGAAATGAAAGGTGGCTTTTTCCAAATCCAGGGAAAAGAATTCTCCATCAAAATGTTGAAACAAGTAGTTTGGTTTGTTCTTTTCCAACCTGCTATTGGCTGTGATACAATCCTCATTGTCCATGGTGCTGGTGTGAATTGGGGACCACTTTTTCACAAGATGGAGTCATTACACCTTGCTCAGTAGTGTAGTCCAATTACAATCTATCTAATATGTACTTTAATATTAAAAAAACACTTGCATTTATTTAGCATTTTTCACAATCACCAGACATCTCAAAGAGCTTTATATCAAATGAAAAACTTGTCGAACTGCAGGAAATGAGGTTTCCAATTTGCATATAGCAAACTTCCTTAAGAAGTACAGAAACATAGAAAACAGGAGCAGTAGGCTATTCAGCACTTTGAACCTGCTCTGCCATTCAATAATATCATGGCTGATCATTCCATTCAGTACCCTGTTCCCACCTCCTCCCCATACTCTTTGATCCCTTTAGTCTGAAGAATGGTATCTAACTCCTCTTTAAAAACATTCAATGTTTTGGCCTCAAATGCATTCTGTAGCACAAAATCCCACAGGCTCACCACTCTCTGGGTGAAGCAATTTCTCCTCATCTCAGTCCAAAACAGCTTAGCCCATATCCTTAGACTGTGATACCTGGTTCTGGACTCCTTGGTCATCCAGAACACCCTTCCAGAGTACACGATGTCTAGTCCTATTAGAATTCTATAGGTATGAGTCCTCCCGCCACAGACTTCTAAACTGCAGTTTACATAGGTGTGGTCTGGCTTATGTCCTGTACATTTGCAGCAAGACAACAAGTAATGTGATAACGACCATAATCTCTTTCAGTTATGTTGACTGGGGATACCGTATCACCATGGGATCTTTTATGTCCACCCAAGACGGAACAGGATCCCTGCTTAATTGTCTCAACCAAACATGGGCACCTCTGACAGCGAAGTACAGCACTCGAATGTCAGCCTTAAGTTCAAGCCTCATAACATATTTAATATCCTTTCAGAAATGGACACTTTCAAAAAAACAGAATCAAAAGATGTATGTAGAAAAAAAATTCACATGCACATCTATGTGCCAAAGATGTCTGTACATTTCAATTAACTCTTCGTTGTGTCCTATTACTGTCATTGATCAGAATATCTTTTTGCACACTAATTTTTTAATCTTCCAGATTGTGGCATAGTGTCAGGAGGCTGTGAGTTTGATAGCTGAGACTATACACATACAGGGACTGAGCTAGCATTGGTCCCAGCAATACTGATATCCTTGCAGCACTTTGCATGTTCAATACCTACAGGACTTAGTGCAGAAACTCCAAACCTCTCCCAAAGTGATATAGGAAGAACCTCAATTCCTATGGCAACAGGGTCACTACCAATGCAGTTATCTCTCTTTGTAACTGTAGTCATTGGAACAAGGGCCAGGTGGATCTCTGACTATGAGATCCTTGATTGAGGTTGTTAATCTGAGCCAGTTTGGCTGACAGATATAAACAGAAGATTCACAGACTCTTCTCACTCTAGGGACTGGCTCTGAGCTAGGTGGTCAGAGTCCATATACTGTGCATGTGTAACTAAAAGGTGATTTGGTGATAGGATTCTGGCCTCTGTGCAGTTACTTGAGTAACTGACATGCTGGGCTCAGGATCATCCATCTCCTTCAACAGCACCTTCCATACCCATGATCTCTACGATCAAGTCCTGGGGGATTGGAGGATTGCAAATGTGATGCCATTGTTTAAAAAAAGGAGCAAAGGATAACACAGGGAACTACAGAAAAAAAGACTGCAAGAACTGCGGATGCCGGAAATCTGAAACAAAATCATGAAATTGCTGGAAAATCTCAGCAGATCTGGCAGCTGTGGAGAGAAAGCAGAGTTAATGTTTCAGGTCCAGTGACCCTTAGAACAGAAAGGGAAACTATAGACCTGTCAGCTTGACATCAGTTGTGGGAAAACTGAATGAGGCCATAATACAGGATAAGATGCACTTAGAGAAAAATACATTAATACTAGACAGTCAACAAGTCTTTGTCAAGGGCAGATCATGTCTGACAAATTTAATTGAGTTTTTTGATGAGGTGACACAGGCAGTGGATGAGGGTAATGCTGTGAATTTTGTATATTTGGACTTTATTAAACATTTGATAGGGTGCCATGTGGCAGCTTAGAAATGTTTGGGATTGATGGGTCCTAGGCAGCATAGATTAGAAGTTGGCTAAAGTATAAGAAACAAAGGGTAGGTATAGAATGGAATTTCTCAGACTGGAGATGAGTTGAAAGTGGTTTTTCCCATGGATCAGCTTTGGGAGCCTTGCTTCTTCTGATTTATATAAACAATTAGGAGATGGGTGTTGAGAGAAAAATCTCGAATTTTGCAGATAGTACTAAGCTCAAGAGAACCCGTGAATTGTAAAGATGATGCTGAACGACTTCAGAGGAACATTTGACAAGTTGGCCAAAATGGGCAGACACCTGGCAAATGAATTTTAATGCAGAGAAATGTGAGATAATGCATTTTGGTAGAAGAAACATGGAGAGACAATACAGGCTCAATGGTTTAACTTTGAGGCGAGTACAAGAGCAGAGGGACCTCAGGGTTCACATACACGATTCTCTGAAGGTGGCCAGGCAAGTTGAAATGGTTATTAATAAGGCTTATAGGGTCCTTGGGTTTATAAACAGAGACATAGAATAGAAAAGCAGTGATGTTACTTCAGTGTTGTGTTCCATTATTTAAAGAAGGAGCCCTGGAGAGAGTGCAAAGGAGATCCACTAGAATGATATCAGGAATGAGCGGTTTTAGACACAGGAAGTGATTAGAGAAATTGGGCTATTCTCCTTGAAGCGGAGAAAATCATGAATAATTTTGACAGGGTAAAGAAGGATCTTCTGTTTCAACTAGTTGTCAGTAACTAGGGATCACAATTTCAAGATTGCCAACAAGAGAGTGAGAGGAGGAGAAACTTCTTTACTCAGAGTTATTAGGATTTGGAAATGTGCCGCCATTTCTGAAGATTTCTGAGGAAGGGTCCTGACCCGAAATGTCAGCTTTCCTGCTCCTCTGATGCTGCCTGGCCTGCTGTGTTCATCCAGCTCCACACCTTGTTATCTCTGACTCCAGCGTCTGCAGTTCTTGCTATCTCAATTATTAAAGACTGGTAAATGTTATAATAGTCTGGTGATGTTACTATAGATTGCTGATGGATATATATTTGAATGTGATGAATTTAGAGAGCAATGGAGATAGAAAAAGGAGAGTGGGACTAGCTAGGTAGCTGTTCTGGGAGCTGATACAGACACAGTGGGTCAAATGGCCTCCTTCTGTACTGTAAAATTCAATGATTTTATAACAAGGGCAGCAGATGCATTTAAACATTACCACCTGCAAGCTCTTCTGTAAACCACACACCATCCTGGCATATGGACTGGCCCTTCACTGTCACTCAGTCAAAATCCAGGAACCTCTCCCCTAACATTACGGGGGTGCCCACAGCAAGGACTGCAGCGGTTCAAGGAGACCATTCACCACCATGTTCCCAAGGTTAGTAAGGGATGGGCAATAAATGCTGGCCAAGCCAGCAATGCCTACAAACAGCAAAACATATATTTTAAGAACTAGTTAATGATCTAATGAATATCAGACAGAACAGTAGCAATTAAGCAACAAGTCAGAGTTTGAGGGAATTGCTAGAAGCAGTCGTGGTGGTCACGTTGGAAACAACAATTCCCTTTACAACCTTCTCCTGACACCCTGCTTTCTTGTACTGCCACAGCTGCATGATTAGCAGAGCCGCAGTGCACAAACTAATGCTGAATTGCAATTCAAACATTTTTACAGCATTGTTCAATGGATCTGAAATGTCAACCAGCTCAACACAGGACTTGACTAATTTCCTGCTCTCTCCCCAGTTAGGAAGCTACCTCATAATAACCAAACAGCACTTCAGCCAAACATTGTTCGGGAAGCAAAAGCAAGAAAGTGAAATTCCAAATGGGAGTTTAGCTACTTGGAAGGGTCAAGAAAATTCCAAGGAGAAAGTAGCACATTGGTAATTTTACTGTAGACTGCAAATATTTCTATTGACTGGTAATTTTACTGTAGACTGGCAATGTCAGTGTAGACCGGTAATGTTACCATACATTGTTAATGTTATTAAGGACCAGTAATGTTATAATAATCCAGTAACGTTTCTATGGACTGCTGACATTGCTATAGTCTGGTAATGTTACCATATACTGTTAACATTATTATAGACTGACAATGTTACTGTAGACCAGTACTTTTACAATACACTATTAATATCAATATAGACTAGAAATGTTACTACAATCTGGATATCCAGAGACCAGAGCTAATGCTTTGGTGAACATATCCCACCATGACAGCTGGGGATGTTAAATTCAACTAATGATCAGAGACTAGCTTTTTATTCCAGATTTCCTCATGAAAAACACATCTGGTTCACTAATGTCTATCAGGAGAGGAAGTCTTGTGTCCTGGTCTGGTCTGCATGTGATTCCAAATCTATAGCACCACCCACTGAAAGGGGAGACAGTGTAATGGTCACAACATCATAATACTGAAACCCAGGCTAAGGCTTTGTGACAATGGGTTCAAATCCTAAAACAGCAGTCAGTGGAATTTAAATTCAATTAATGAATCTGGAATATAAAGCTAGTCTCAGTCATAGTGACCACGAAACTTAAACTATAAATCGATTGTTGTAAACAGCTATCTAGTGCACAAATACCTATTAGGGAAGGAACCTGGTATGGCCTACACGTGACTCCAAACCCATTGTAATGCAGGTGACTCTTAAACGCCCTCCCAAGTGATGTCACAAACCAGTCAGTTCAAGAGCAATTATGGACGGGCAACAAATGCTGGCCTTGCCAGTGACGCCCACATCCTATGAAGGAATATTTTAAAAATGGCCTAGCAGGTCACTCAGTTATATCAAACTGCTACAGAAAATAAAACGCTGCGAATGTGCCGACATAACATGGTCTGCAGCAGTTCAAGCAATGGGATCACCACCTTGAGGGCAATTAGGGATCAGCAATGAGCACTTTCTCTGTCAGCAATGTCCACATCTCAAAACCGTTTATTTTTGAAGAAGGGGAAATAGGGGAAAAGTTCATAACACACCAGGGACAAAAATAAAAGACTTCTGGAGGTGCCCTATAAGCAGAAGTTTATTAATACAGTATTCCTAGGCAACTATTTACACAGTAGCTCTGCAGAGCCAGGAGATAAATTTGCCCGTCCCTCATGGCCAAAGGTTTTTATTTAGTATAAGGCGATTAGAACCGGTTCATGTATCCAATATGAATCCTGAAAGCAATGTGCCCATTAAAAACAAACCCAAGTTTGCTCCCCATCATTATATTGTACACTTAATCATAATAGATAGACAAATGCAACAACATGCATTTATGTAGTGTTTATAACGTGGTAGAACCCCAAAAGTACTTCATGGGAATACTATCAAAATTAATGTGGAAGCCATGTAAGATGACACTAAGGCAGAGAATGTTTTAAGAACTGTCCTGGAGGAGACTGGGGACGGAGACTTAGGGAGGGATTGACAAAGGATTAAAAGGGCAGACTTACAAAACGACTGGCAACAATGGACTGCCAGTTGATTTCAGAGCTACACTGATCACTTTGCCTCTGTTGGTAAGTTGTCCTTTCCAAGGATAGTACTCCACTGCCAAAATATAAAGTGTTAAGGTTAAAACCAACAAGGAGTCTTGTAAAACAGAGCTTCATATAAACAGGTCAACCACTTATGTATCACACTCCTTGAATAGTCCAGATAGCCAAAAGAATGGTGGAAACAAAAACACAGGGAAAGGATATTCAGTCTAGTCCAATAATTCAAATGCTTTTAGCTTTAGAATTTCAAAAATTGAAATAATTAAAATTAAGTATATAACACAACAGAGTAGATATTTAGTGCTTAGAATAGTTAGGAATATTTAAAAACAAATGAGAAGATTACATTGAAAGTATAGTGCGGGAACAGGCTTTTGGTCCAACGAGTCCGCGCTGGTTCTACATCATACATGACAAATACTTAAATTCTGTGTGCATACCTTGCTCCCACTGTGTCATTATCCCGGTTTTTCCTTTAACCTGTCTGGCCTATTCTTTAAAATAGTTAAGAACTCTGCTTCAATTATCAACATCTGACCATGTTCCACAACCCTCTCTATAAAATATTTCCACATAAAAACATGAAAGATCAGAGCAGGAGTAGACTATTCAGCCCCCTCAAGCCTACAATGAGATTGAGGCTGACCTGATCATGGTCTCAGTTCAACTTTCCTGCCTGTTGCCCATAAGCCTAGACTTCCCTATAGTTCAAATATCTGTCTATTTCAGCCTTGAATATATTCGATGACCCACCCTCCACGGGTCCCTAGAATAGAGAATTCCAAAGATTAACAACTCAGACAAGAAATTCCTCTGATTTCCTTAATAGGCAAACCTTTATTGTAAAATACGTCCCCTATTCTCTGTTCTAAATTTCTTCCATTAAATCTTAAAGATAAAGAATTACTCTTGCATTTAGGCCCATCAACCACAGAAGATGCTCTCTTATCTCATTTAATAAGGCGCTGCACAAAAAGTTAATTCACAAGGCTGGATCATATGGGATTGGGGTAATTTATTAGTTTGGATAGGTGACTGGCTGATGGACAAAAGATAGAGTCAAGATAAATGGGTTTTTCTCTGAATGCAAGAAGGAACTCGTGGGTGCCACAAGGTTTGATCCTTGGACGCCAGCTATTTTACAATCTACATTAACAACTTGGATACAGGGATTGAAGACTCTGTAGCCTAATTTGCGGATGACACTAAAATAGGTGCGACAGTAAACTGCAATGAGGAAATAAGAACCTAACAAATGGATATAGATAGGAGAGTGAGCCAAAATGTGGCAGATGGAGTTTAATGTGGATAAGTGTGAGGTCATGCATTTTGGTCAGAAAAATAGGAATGTGACCTATTATCTAAATGGGGAGAGACTCGGGGTGCTCTGGTGCAGAGGGATCTGGGTGTCCTTGTTCATGATTCACAGAAAACTAGAATGCAGGTGCAGCAGATAATAAAAAAAGTGAATGGAATGTTGGCTTTTACAGCTAAAGGAATAGAATATAAAGGTAAGGAAGTATTGTTGCAACTGTACAAGGCATTGGTGAGACCACACTGGAGTATTGTCCCCTTATTTGAGGAAGGATGTGGTGGCATTGGAGGCATTTCAGAAGAGGTTCACTCGACTGATTCCCGGGGTTAAGGGCTTGTAATATGAAGAGAGATTGAACAGTTTAGGCCCATACTCTCTGGAATTTAGAAGAATGAGGGGAGATCAAATTGAGGTATTCAAGATGATAAAAAGTGAAGATAAAATAGTTGTGGAGCGGATGCTTCTTCTTGTGGGGTGTTCTAGGACAAGGGGTCATAGTCTTAGGATAACAGGTAGCAAATGTAAAACAGAATTGAAGAGCAACTATTTCTCCCAAAGGGTTGTGAATCTTTGGAGTTCATTACCCCAAAGTGCAGTGGATGCTGGGACAGTAAGTAAATTTAAGGAGGAGTTAAGACAGATTTTTAAAATTGGTAATAGGTTGAAGAGTTATGGGGACAAGGCAGGAAAATGGGGGTAAGGAGCATATCAGCCATTATCGAATGGTGGAGCTGAATTCAATGGGCCGAATGGCCTAATTCTGCCCCCTATATCTTATGAGTGTATGAGCTATCTCTTCACCATTTGAAACATATTTATCAAAATCAACAAAAAAAAACTCTAATTCACTGTCAGAATGTTGTTTTTTTCCAAAACAAACGTCTTTCCACTTGTGAAGGTGAATTCTCACATCCATTTTCTCAGCTCTCCCAAACCCCACTCTTTCAACGTAGAACAATTTACTTTTGATTTGTATAACCATCAAGGTGCCACCTCACATTCAGATGTACTGAATTCAATTGGCCTCTTTTTCGACTGCCACCCCCATGTCCTCTTGCTGCTTCTTTTTTTCCTCAGAATTACTGCACCTCTTATTTTACTATTGTTTTTCTACAAATTTCAGTGTCACTGCTTTTTGTCAGATCTCTCAATAACTGATGTACGGCAGCTGGAGCAGTTCTGAGCCAGAATGCCACCTGCTCAGGAAAACTCCCTCTAACTCCTACTCAGTTTCCTCCCTTGGAACTATTTTTTAAAACCAGTTTACCACTCCTAATCCCTTCAGTCTGCCTGCAATATGCCATTCTGAATTAGGAGGAACAGACAAAGTCAGCTGTTGATCCTTCTCTCCCATCACTCCTTGATGTTTAATGGGTCATTGAAACAAAAATACACACAATGTTACAAAATTTAAAAATCCATTTATTCTTGAGTAAATCGATGTCACACACAGGCTTCCTTACGTCAGATCACAGATATCAGAATTAAAAGTAAAAATCATAAAATGTGCTGACCATGTGGTATATTCTAACGAGCAACCAGAGGAAGTGGTGGAGGCAGGGACAATTACAGCATTTAAAAGGCATCTTGTTAGGTACATGAACAGGGAGGATTTAGAGTGATATGGGCCAAATACTAGCCAATGGGACTAGATCAGTTTAGGATATCTGGTCAGCATGGATGAGTTGGACAGAACAGCCTGTTTCCGTGCTGTATGACTCTATGACTTGATGACTTTATAAGTTGCAGGGGCTGAGTATGCCAGTCTGCTCTGTTATTCAATCAGACCATGGCTGATCTGATCCTCAACTCCAGTTTCCTAGCTTTCTCCCCACGAGTCCTTGATTCCCCTACTAATTAAAATTATATAACTGAAACATTTTGTTTTTATGTACTGCACTTCCAAAATGAAGAAACCCATCAAATCTTATCGCCAAGTTGAGTTTACCTTGAATTTCAGGAACGAAACTGTGCAGGAGAAAAGTGAGAAAGAAACAATTAGATGCCATCAGATAAGTTTTAACAATCATCAGTACATGGTAAAACAAAAAAAAGCATGATGTTGAAGGGTCAGAAACGTAACTTACAGCTCAGCCTTTGCTGACTCTGCCATCACACACTTGTTGTCAGAGTATTGAAATGCTACAATAGTGTAAGGATAAATCTGTCGAGGGCACTCGAGAACACCACACTGTCCAAATTCATACACATAATACTGGAATAAAGAGAAATCAGACTGGTCAATAGCAGAACAAATACATCAAAATAACTGCAAAGCCTCTGCAGGAACAAAACATAAATACTGATCACAAGCTAGGGAAAACTAAAATATAACCAAGTCAGATGAGAGGGGTTCAGGGGCATGGAGAAAATGTCAACTCTAAGATTCAGGAAGAGGTTTCAGGTGAGGGCTGAACCAACCTTAGCATCTGCGGTGCAGGAGGAACCCATCCTCAGTAAAATCTATCTCCTGCTGTCAGAAGGTTGATCTTTCTGTTATCCTACCTGTGGTGAATTTGTCTTTAATCTGCATGGCCTTGTTTTTACATTTTTAGTGTTCTTATCCTCTGAGCGCTACCACAATGTAAATGTGTGACTAGCTCAGCTTTGTTGACATAGTGTGAAAAGGAGGATCCGTAAGATTTCACTGGACAGTGAACTTTGGCATTGCTAGCAGTGAAGCACAAGACTAAGTATATCTGTAAGTCCGGTGATCCTTCCTCAGAACTGGACCCGAAACATCAACTCTGATATCTCTCCACAGATGCTGCCAGACCTGCTGAGCTTTTCCAGCAATTTCTGTTTTTGTTTCTGATTATCCAGTAGCACACTGCTTTGCATCTTCTAACACAAGGTAGTGTTCTGAAAAATAGGAACTTGCCTTTGGAAATCATGGAAACCTCTTCCCGATGTGACTCCATCTGAGACTGAAGAATGACTGCAAACCCTCAGGGAGATATGAGAGAGTTGGAATGTGGAGGCCTGTATTTTAGAGTGGGAGGGGCAGCTGGTATAACTCAGTCAGAGCTCCACATGGCCATTTATGCCATGCAACTCACAATATTGTAACAGAGAGGTATACAAGCTATCCACCAATATTTAAAGCACTAATTATTTAAATTCCCAAGTAGAATGGCTCAGAGTTTAGCAAAATACTTCTATACCGACTAAGGGGGGAAACTATCATTGCTACACTAGCAGTACCTTAACCAGAGAGTAAATCCAAGAAATCTCAAAATCCATTGTGTGATTCCAATATTTATTCCATTAAAAAAGCTAAACCAGTAGGAAACATAAGAACATACACGCTAGTCATACCTGTTGAGCTAACAAGTATATAGAGAGATGCAGATCATAGAATCCGTAGTGTGGAAGCAGGCCATTCAGCCCATCAAGGCCACATTGACCCTCCAAACAGCATCCCACCCAGACTTACCTCCCTATCCTAAGCCTGAATTTCCCATGGCCAATCCACTTACCTGCGCATCTTTGGACTGTGGCAGGAGACCTACACAGACACAGGGAGGATGTCCACACAGACAGTCACCAAAGGGTGGAATTGAACCATGGTCCCTGGCACTGTGAGGCAGCAATGCTAACCATTGAGCCATGGTGCAACACTAGATGGCAGTTATTTCCTTGCTGCACAATTGTGTCTGAAAATTTGGGACTCGGTTTCCTGAATTTAGTTGACAGGTAATGTAGGATTATCCTCAGTTTGTGCATGGTGAGACTGTAGTAACCAAGAAAACATTCGTAGCTACATCAGGTCTTCCCACTTCTGGGATTGGGACCCCAAGTATGGTCGCAAGAAACCGTTCTGGGGTTGAGTATCCCAGATATTCACAGTTGGATCGCCACACCACTCATTTTTGCAATACATTGATATGAATCTCCGCATTTTCAGTAGGGAATTCTGATCCTAGCTCCTTCAGAGATGCAGAGTGTAGCTGAAATCAACACAGTTCTCCTTTAGTGTAAGATAGTTGTGGGACGTCAAACCACAAACCTTTTTGCAGTAATCAGTGTGCCGTGTTCGGAGATTTAAATATCCAGCAGTGCAGTCAGACACTTTGACAGTTCCTGTGTAAGGAAAGTATGGGTTTAGGGTGGCTGTTGGTTAAGGGTGTAGGTGCCAAGTGGGTCGGGTGCCAGGAGAGGGTTACAGCACTTAGAATAAGTCGTGGGAGGTTGTGGGGCGGAAATGGTGTTGATTCTGGGGCCAGCAGGATTCAATTTCTGGGAGTACGGGGCTATGCTGGTAGTGGTGGGGGCAATGTGAAGGGTTTTCTTTTCAAAGGGTTCCAGATGCAGGGGATATCCATCTTCAACTTCTTCGGCAATTCCAATGGAGTCTGATGTGTCTAGGATTCCACACAGTCCTGCTGCATAACTCCAGTCTGTGCTGCTCCAATGACTATCTGGCCATTGGAATATCCAGGCCATTGAGACTTACGCTTCCTAATTAGAAACAAGGTTATTCATTCTTTTTCGAGAAACTTTAACATTGCAATTGACATTCTCATCAAACCATCTAGTTTGTTAATAAATGTTTATATAGTTTAGAAGATAATTTGTCTCATTTAGTCTTCTGTATCTAAACTCAAGAACCTATCTCTGTATGATGTTCAGTAGAGGTGAAATAGAGGATTGTTGAGGAAACATGGTTGGACCCCTATTATATCCAGGTGGTTACAATATGGCTGATGTGAACTACAGAGGCTCTCTGTGGAGGGCGATAATGTCTTCAACTGGTTCCTTTCCTTCAAGCCGAGTAAAATCAATTCTTCAGACCCATTCAAACATCTGCAAGGCCTGTTCTTTTCAACCTAAGGCAAGAATGATCATCCGAGTACTCCTCCTGATCTGGAATAGTCCCAAAAAGGTGCTGAGGTTACAACTCACTTCATGGGGACCATGGGTTCAAATACCACTCGTGGAATTTAAATTCCATTTGTACAACCTAGAATATAAAACTGGTCTCAAAAATGGCTAACGTGACACTTTTATAAATTATTGTAAAAACCCATCCAGTTCTCGGAGATCCTTAAAGAAATAAAATCTGCCATGCTTACCCAGTCTGGCTGACATGAGACTCCAGACCCATAGCAATGTGGTGGACTCTTAACTGCCCTTGTAAATGGCCAGGCAAGCTATTCAGTTCAAGGAAAGTTGGGGGCTTGCAACAATGCCTTCATCCCATGAAAGAACAGAGGAAAAAATAATAATTTCTAAAAACAAACTCTCAACTGAGCAACCACCAAAAGGTGACTTTTGAGAGGGAGTAATGTCTGTTAATCAAAGATTGCACATATGCAAAAGAAGTTACTTCACCTGCGTCAGCTCAAAAGCTTGAAAATGACTTGTTATGGAAGAAACCGTATCACTGTTTATGGAAATGTGGCAGTTGTAACCAGCAGATGGTTCAGTCAAATCCGCTGTGTAATTTTCAATCATAGACTTCACTCTACCCTGTCAAATGAACAAAACAGAATTGGCATCACTCTCAAATAGGAACACGTAGAAAGAAAAGTAGAAGGTAATTTTTAATGTGACTTAATGCAATCCTTCAAACAGAGGCAACATGATTATTCAATCATTTATTACTGTGCAAAGGGATTGAAGAAACACAGCCAAAATCCACGAGTGAATATCGTCAAACTTCACTCTAGCCTCCAGTCAACCAAGCAAACAAGTACTAAGATTATTCCGTATTTTGAGCATGGTTGTTTATTATAGCATAAAGGCTGAATTGTAATATAACTTGCACCATAAAACTGACACACTGTCAGGCTAATATTACAACTGCACCATACAGCCCAATGTCTGACCAGTCACACTCAATAGGGGCACTGTTGCTTAAACCAACTTGCATTGATTCATACAACAACTTGAAAGTTGGTGTGCTTGAATATGACAGCATTGCATAGTATAAACACAGGATGCAGTGAGCAATACTTGAAACGTTTGGGTGCATTCAGGAAAGGAAAAGGTTTGTCTTTAAACTGTAAGAATAACTGAGGAGATGAGGTAATGGATCTTGTGCAGATTACAACAAAAGCATCCACAGAACATCATAAAGCAAGACGGTTTCATATTACAGTTACGATTGCAAGAACTATTTTCACATGACCAATCTTGATCTGTACATCCAGAAGGCTGCAGCCAACGAGGAAGCATCTGTTACATATAACACACAATCTCACTGAGGGGCAATGTTAAGGGAATAAAAGACAGCTGGTGAAGTCTGAGCCAGAAAAGAAACTCAATCTATTATACTAGCAGGTGAAACAGAGGTATCATTTTCCAAACTTTCCAGCTTTGTGCATGATATTGGATGGGCTTAATACTGTAAAGCAACTCAGAGTTGAAAACACGCCAATGCATGACGTGAGTTGTGTAACACTGCTGCCCATAGTAGCAGAGAGATTTATTTTGTACAACATGAAGGAAAAGCAAAAGTTTTAATTTGATCAGGTTACAGAACTTCAAAACGATAACTCCTTTTGATCAACATGAGCATAACAAGTTAAAATACAATCACAATGCTTTCTTTTACCTTACCTTAATTATTTTAAAAATTACAATAAAGCCGCATTTTCCATGGTACCACGGCTTGGGATGAAGGAAGTCTGAATATCTACAAAGATAAACTCCTGTTGGATAAGAAGAAAAAGTGAAACTACTTGAAAACTTCAGTAAATGTTCAAACTCGAAATCCTTCACAAAAGCTCACAGGTTAGTTCCTCAAACTTTAAAATTGCTCCCTACAAGATTAGCATTGTGTAATACAGAGGCCAAGGAGATCAGATGTTAAACCATGCTAGGACGTGGACAGACTGGATGTTGGAAAACTCTCCATTTCTCAGACAACTGGGCGCCTCTGAAATGCCTGAAGGCTGGTGTTTATTCAGAAACAAAGCAGCCAATGGCATTTCCTCAGTGACCTGTTTATAGCAAGTCGTAGAAATAGTCCAGCCCCTGGCCTAGTTTCCAGATACATATCCCTATGCCCAACTCTTTTGCCAGTTCCAACCATGCTTGGCATACACTTTTAATATTGGGTAAAACACAACATGTTTCCCTCTCTGGTCCCTCTTATAATTGATGTAATGCTCGGTAATTTGCTCATCCCATTGCAGCTTTGCATGTAGTCTTTCAGAATCTTAATGTATCTGCGTCCTACAGTGGGCTCTGCTGCTCCTCCAAGGATACATTAGCCCATCCCATAGAAATCCAGTCCCAAAAGAATGTTATTTCTGCAGGTTGCATTCGGGTCCAACTTCTGAACACAGGGGGCTGGGGGATCTGGGGCCAGGTCATTGTGCATTCGAACAGTTGTATGTCATCAGGCTGAATCCATCCACAATATTGGCCCAGCTGCTCAAAATCCTGCTTCCCAAACATTCCAGGCTGGTTGGTTCCTGGAGAGCTGGCTCAGGGAATCACCAACACAACTTTCAGCTTGGATTCAGGCATGGCCTTGGACAAGTGCTGGATCACGTGATCCTTGCATTTCTGACCACCAAACTGACTCCATACCTCCCATACAAAGCCAAAGTCCTCAGCCTTTGCAGTCTGCACTGACACTTCCGACAACTCTTCAATTTCATCCTCGCTGTGAAAATGTCACGATATGTCTCGGCACGGAGTAAAATTCAAGGAACAAAACAGGCTGCTTCGAACTCTGCCTTCACATTCTTCATTCAGCCTTGGTCTCCGCAGTTCTTTGGGGTTTTTTTTTCAATTTATGGCTTTTAAGGGTTTCAAAGTGAGATGCTGTGTGCAGCAGCTGGTGGTCTGGGTGCTGATTCTCTGCATTACCATCAAGAGGGAACTGGGTCAGTTCCCGACCGGGGTAGAGATCACATCACATCATTTGCTGGTGTCTTCAAAGCTGACACACGTGCCAGGTTTTGAGCACCTACAGGAACAAGACAGGCCGGGTCCCTAAAGTTCATGCTATTGGCCACTGGTTCCCTGGGTCCACCTCAACTCCCCAGCAACTGCCCCGCAGCACAGACCATGATTATTTCACATTTCAAGAGGTGAGAGAGGGAGGCTACATTTTGGCGCATGATCCACCTTATCCAGCCTTCCATTACTTCCTGCCGCTTCTTTCTTATTGACCCTCAGGCTTTGATAGCCCATACACCATCTTTAATTGGACCATGACACCATTCTGGGGAAAATTCCCAAAGTGTGACTTTACCCCACACAGTGCAGGCTCCAGATCCTCATTTGAGCTCAATGACAGGGCTCAGGAGCTCACAGAGAGCCAGCTCTCAGTCTTCACAGCCTCCAAGTCTGGTTTCAATGGTCCGAGGGAGTTAGAAAGGTATTTTCCTGGAATGTTTTCCTCCCCCATTTATTGGCCCAGGGTTTTTCCACTTCCTTTGCATGTTTACACAGTTGGGGAAAATGGGATGTGATATGTGTAGTCATGATACACCTATCATTATAAGAGTGTTAGAGGGTGGTTTGATGGGCAAGCTGGTTATCTCCAACCTGTCAATTTGTTCATATACAATATTTGACTTGTTTTTGACTATTATTTCATTAGAGGCATTTTGATCAGTTTTACTACTTCTGTCCCAAAGTTGGCTACTGCATGTCACTTGTCATTAAGGGATCAGGGTGCACAATCGTGTAATCTATGGCATCCATTTCCATCATCAGGATTACAGAAAAGTTTATGACAAACAAAAAGGTTAAAAAAAAACACAAATAATACACACGTTCAACCATGCACTGTATTTACAGCACTGAAGACAGCTTCAACATTAGCTAATAATCTCAATGAAAACTGACACCACATTAAGTTTGACTTGATCAACAATCCACTCAAAACTCTGGGATATTAAGAGATTGAAATATCTAGCTTCCCCTTAAGAGAATGTTTAGAAATAATGACAACAACTTGTCCACTGGAAAACAAAACATGGGTGTTGACCAACAACCCAAACTGCAAGCAAATTCATGAAATTTTAAACCAGTTACGGTATATAGCAGAATGAAACCAAAGGACAATTTTTTTCACTGAATCCAGTGGTCAATGCACAACCATGACTGGGATACAAGGGAATTAAACAATGAACCTTATTTCTAAATAATGAAGTTGGAGCCAGTAACTGGATGTAAAACTAATATGGCTTTCTATAGTTTCAGCCATACTCTCTATGGCTGGTATGGTTCACAATTCCCCTGTCCACTCTCACAGTTACACACCCAACAAATCCACACATCAGGAGCTCCAGTCATTTTCTCTCCATTTCTGTGGGGGGAAAATCAAATTCTAGAGCTGACCTTTCAGTCCCCATTGGCTGCATGGGGCTGGTCTTCCCAGTTAAGGATGCAAATGTGACGTAGAAATTTGACCCGTGCTACATGTGTAATTCCTTGCTCCCACTTGCAAGTCAGTGATAAGGCTGCAATGCCATAACTCCAATTAACCAACCTATACACTTCTGCAAGCAGTTCTCCAGCTGCACACATGACTTTGCAGAACTCTCCCCTTAACAGTCTCATTCAGGAATTGAATTGGCAATGTCATTCCCTGGCACTTTGTTCAAACAAATGTGATACATTTGCACTGGTTCACTTGAAAATTACTTCTGAAGTGAAGTTTCTGTGCATTTATCTCAAAGGGAGGAGCTTCCAGTCATAAAGGCAGACCACATCAATCTGGCAGAGCATATGCTACAGACCCAAGGAGAGGCAGCTAAAACTAAAAGGAACATATTTTCTGTTGCCTCCAACTTAAGACCTTTATACTTTGTTTCCAATATCTGCAGGAATAATCTGAAAAGGTGCCCAACGTCAATTTGCAGATACTTTTCCTGGAGATATCCAACAGAGAAGCTCAGTAACTAAACATTCCATCTGCTCAAAAATGGGGAACTCTGAACAACATGTCCATTGAACACATAATACAAAGCAGTGTGCAAGACTTTTAAATAAACCAAATTTAATGATTTACTTACAAGCTGACACACCCAACTGAGATATATATTAAGATATTTGCACAGCAGGATACATTGCGTTAGCGGCAACAGTAAAGTTTCAGGAACAAACTTAATAATTAAACAAATCTATTGTGCTTGTGCAAATCCTAACTCTACAGCCAAAGGCAAGTATCAAATTGCAGTACAAATCTGATGCTGAACATGGTTTCTGAATAACGTGCTTTTTTTTAACAATTTCACATAACTAAAATAATCTAAAGGAGGCCAACTGACTCACAGGCAGCAAGTATATTTACTTTGTGAATGAGAACAGGCACCGTAATCCACTCAATGTATGTGTATATAAGAAAATTTACCCTTCAGTGGATCTCCTAGAGTTGTAATGTTACTGCTCCCAACCTTCAATCCTTCTTTACAGACAGTTTTTGCCTGCAACAATAAAACAAAAATGGAGAAACATTGACAGAAAGAAACACCAAAATCAAAACAGTTATAGTAATTAGGTTTGGACAAACCCTGGGACATTACTTGTAATACTTCACAGCTCTTCTTCCAAGGCCTGGCTCTGAAAACCCCTTCACCCCCTCTTTCCCAGACCATCCCAATAATATACATTTGCAAATCTAGAAATATGGTTTGTATCTGATATTCATAAATGTGTTAGACAGCAACAATGTTCTCAGTTTGGATAAAATTTGTTGTCCTGGTTTATGAAGCCAACTGATTTTTTCATAGACTAGTTACACTACGATAGTGGTTTGTTTCAACAACAAACCTCCCAACCTTCTATATTTTGAAAAGTATAAGAAATACCTTTGTGTAATACAACTTCAAAATATTTCCACTTTTTTCCCCAATTTTCTATTCCTACCTGATCTTCTGTTTCGAACAGTAAGAAAGCAAAGGACTCAGCAAGTTCCTCTTGGTTGTACCCTTTCACCGCTAGATCCGACCGACAAGCATTGTACTGCAACAAATACAGAATTCCAAAAATTTGGGTTTGACAAACATAAAACACTGCCACATGAAGCAGAAGGCAGAATCACATGCTAATTAGGTCTTGGGCCAGATTCCGCCATCAGCAAACGAAGCTAGTTCTTGTACTGAACTTGCCCATATAAAGACAGCATTAAAAGGTGCAAAAATAGCTCGGCTCGTGTGAACAGGGCGAATAACTGTGTATTTCGTAAACCCAGCAGAATAACGAATGCTGATTGAATCGTTCTGAATCTAAACCCAAATATGCAAGTTAGAATGTTCAATTTGATACCAGATCACGTAACTCATCTACAGACTCCCCGCAAAACATCCGCCAAAGGTACAAGTCAGGAATGAGATGGAACAGCCTCCACTTGTCTGTATTACTGCAGCTCCAACAATTCAAGAAATTTAACACCATCCTAGGCAAAGCAGCCCGCGCCCCCTCCACCATCAGCACAACTGCATCAGTGTATGCCACATACAAGATGTATTACAGCAAATGATCAAACTGCATTCGATATCACATTCTAAATCCACAAACTTCATCACCTAGAAGGTCAAGGGAGCAGATGCAATGGAAAATCACCCATTTTACCATCCTGATATCGTCGTCCCTTCACTATCACTGGATCAAAATCTTGGAACTTCCTAACAGCTATACAGTTGACGCTACAACCCAAGTTTTAGAAGGCAACTTGCCCCCAGCTTCTCAAAGGCAATTAAGGACAGACAATAATGCAGTGATTATCCAGATTGCAATATGGCTGCCACACATGCACAAGTGCATCTCGTAGGGTCTAGTGGCCACGAGAGGACAGACTACGGAGAGCATCTGTGTATGCACCAATCATGTGGCGATATCATCAGTGCACATCATATTGTGGAGGTGGGGAGGTGATGTCTGCACCAGATCCAACATCTTTTTAGTCTGGGAGTGATGGGAAACATAGGGGGTGATTGGGAGGAACCAGAGAGGAATGGGAGAGAGAAGGAGAGGCTGCAGGGGGAGTGATAGAGAAGGGGAGAGGTTTCGGGGCAAACGGGAAAGACAGAGGGTGCTGCAGAGGGTTTGAAAGAGAGAGAGAGAGGGAGAGGCAAGAAGGGAATGGGAGAAAGAGAGAGAGGGTGCAGAGAGAATGGGATAGAGAGGAAGAGGCTGCAGGGGGGAGTGGGAGAGAGAAGTTCTACATTTAGAGGGTTACAAAACTTTGCAATTCTCCACTTTTGAGAAATGAAGTTGCTCAGTCTTTGATATATTCAAGACCTAGATCTAAAAATATTCAAACTTGAAGCTAAAGTGAAGTTGAAGTAAATGATCAGCTGCCAACTTATTTTAGGGTCAAGAGGCCTATTCCTGCTCTGTTTCCCTTGTGTCAAGCTGACAATTTTAAAAGCAGGACAACTATAAGTTAACTATATATATTCTAACACTATAGGATAACTATGAATTTAATGTTATGACTATAGTATATTACTATAACAATAAGGCCAAAATACATAGGAGCAGAAGGAGGCTACTGAGCCCATCAAGTCTGCTCCGCCATTCAATAAAATTGTGGCTCATCTGATAATCCTCAACTTCACTTTTCTGCCTTTTCCCCATCGCCCTTGATTCTCCTCCTAATTAAAAATCTGTCTACTTCAGCCTTGAATATACTTAACAATCCAGTCTCAATAGCCCTCTGCAGTAAAGAATTCCACAGAGAATTCCTACCCTCAGAGAAATTCCTCTTAATCTCTGTCAATTATACTATATGTTCTGATGAACAGTCATATGGGACTCAAAACACTAACTCTCTCTCCACAGACACTGACGGACCTACTGCATTTCTCAGCAATCTCTGCTTTCAAATCAACCACAAGCAAAACCAAGACAGAAAACGACAGCTAAGAAAATACTGGATGATTATAAAACGTATCAACATTAAGTAAAGGCAAAATCGCAATATTTCTGTTAGATTCCGTGTTGGCTTTGAAAACAATACTACCTGATCTAGAAGTTTTGCATTATTCACTAACGTCACTTGGTTGTAGTGAAAGTAATTCCTTGACGAGGAGTCCAGGTATGCCTGCTGCAAGGTTGGAAGTATTTCTTGTCTGAACTGGCTGGAGGTGAGGGACACCATATGAAAGGTTTCTGCTGAAGAAAAGCAAAGAGACAATATTGCCATATTGCGTAGCAGCAAAACTGCAGCTTGAAATCTGGAGAGGCTAGTTACCCTTCAACAATTGCAGTAAAGCCCAAAGGGGTCAGGTTTTAAAAGCATACTATAATGGACGCACTTTCTTGTTCTCACAACTGTTTTCGGAGATCTGTTTCCAAATTCTCTGAAAAGCCTTTAAAGGGCTGGAAACTGCTACAAATATCTCGCTTCATCTGCCCATCTGGTGTTTGTCATTGAGTTTATAATACGAGTATCAATTTCTATATTAAAAGGCAATCCATGTGTTTGCATAAAATTAAACTTAAAAGTTTTGCCCTAGAATTTAGGAGGTTGAGGGGTGATCTGATTGAAGTCTTCAAGATATTAACAGAATTAGACAGGGTTGAGAAAGACAAGTTATTTCAATGGATTATCTTTCTAAGAAATTAGATTATCTTATTCTTTCTAGAATTAGGAGGGATAGTCTAAAAATTAGGACCAGACCATTTAGAAGAGATGTTAGGAAGCACTTGTACACACAAAGGATGGTAGAGGTCTTAAACTCTCTTCCACAGAGACCAGGTGATAAGAGATCAATGTTTAATTTTAATTGAGATAGACAACTTTTTATTAAGCAACAGTATTAAGGGACATGGGTCAACCGCAGGTTAGGTCACAGATCAGCCATAGTCTCACTAAGTGGCTAATAGGCTCGAGGGGATGAACAATTTACTCCTGTTCCTAAGCCCTTTACAAAATACTCTTTTTAAATCAGCAGAGACCCACAAAATATTTGCAGAGAATTTAATTTTTTGTTTAATTGTAACAGTAGTTCTTTAAATCCCCACACCATGTCATTCCATTCTTCCTGTGATATAACATGTGCCATGCACAAGTGGAATGATTAGACATGATCATATTGAATGGCGGAGCAGGCTCAAAGGATTGAATGGCCTACTCCTATTTTCTATGTTTCTATACGGCGCCCTTTCTTTCATCTCTCTCATATGACACCATCCCATCCCTTTATCCAACGCTATCTCCAAGCTCAACGCTGTGCCCCTTTGGGAGCATGTGGATCAGACACAGCTTCGAGCCCCTGCTCCTCACTTGCTGATCTCTCAGTCTCCACTCTATGGGTGCAACTAAAACATCTCCCTTACAATGTATTACATGCAGTATGCTTGATGTCTCATTAAAATGTAACAATATTTATTCAGACAAATCTCCTTCCATGGGTATAAGATTTTGCTGGGTCAACAGCAGACTGGAACAGCCCCGACAGATAAAAACAATGCATCATTTGTATTGACTGACTTCCAAATTAGAGATAGTAGGAACTGCAGATGCTGGAGAATCCAAGACAACAAGGTGCAGAGCTGGATGAACACAGCAGGCTAAGCAGCATCATAGGAGCAGAAAGGCTGACGTTTCGGGCCTAGACCCTTCATCAGATTTCTGATGAAGGGTCTAGGCCCGAAAC